ATTATAAGTCTCCGTTTTCGAACTTCATCTGAACGGGGACTACCGGTAATAATGACCACCAAAGTGACGAGTGTGAAGACAGATTTGGTTTGATTTGCGTTTTTATTCGCGTTCGATTGACGTACGTTTCGCACTCGATTGACGTACAAATTGAAATATCTATAATTTACACAAAAGTTTATATATAGCATATTTTGTGTAGGAAAAATAGGGATCAACTTATTTCTTTTGGAGAAAATTGGTTATAAATAGTCCTACAGTCTCACATCAGAAGTCACATGGGCTCAAACAAGTATAAAATAGCCCTAGAAACAGACAAGAAACGCATAAATATGTTTAAAGAAAATGAATGTTGTGTAAAAAATCATATCGTCACAAATTTAAATATCACCACTCAATTAAAAAACAAATAAAACAAGGACGTTGATGTTTTTATTCATAATCATTGTCCTTTGACCTTCTGCGGATTCGCAGACGCGTCAAGGAACTGTCATGAGCACTATGAAAGTATTTATAACACTGATTTCCACAGAAAATACTAAATTGATCTTTATTAATATTGTTAAATTAGCCGAAATTGCTATATATCAACATTTGAGTGAATTATAGGTATCTCAGTGGACGTTTCAATTGTACGTGAATCAAACACGAATCGAACCGAACGCTGTCTTCACACTCGTACCAAAGTGACTATACCACAGAACTATGACTTGTTTATTTTAATGGCCTTGTGTATTCTTGACTAGGGGGATAACCTCACTTATTTGTTTTTGTAATTAAACTTTTTCTAAACTTTCCCTTCTGTTCCATAAAGCCATTTGAGAGAATAATAATAATAACTTTATTGCATCCTTAGAAATACAATGTTTCTATCAGTTAATAGCAATAAAGATTAGTTGTGATAACTACTACTACAAAAGAAAAGAAAATTGGGAAAACAAATAAATATTTCAATTCAATTCACCTTTAGTGTAATTATAAAAATTACTATGGCATACGGCAAGTCTCAGAATTATTGGGGCAGCAAGTTAGCAAACACACTCACTAATTCACCAACCACTTTGGTTTTGACTAAAGCAGATGACCTACAATGTGAATATTACTTTTCATTCTGTCACCATCAAATGTTAGTAAGGCTAGACTTTTTTTATTCCTTATTTCTCGAGTTTTTTTTGAGGAGGGTGGAAAAAAAAATTAATTCTTTTTTTCCCATTGCATTTGTGTGATTCTCAAAGTGAGATCATTGATCAGAGAGAAGAAATGAAATAAAATTGTATTCCCTGTATGACCTTGTTTCTCATCTGTGCGAGACTTCGGTGCTTTGATCATGATACTCCCACGAAAATTTTAGATTTGGTATGCGACGAGCGGTAAAAAAAATGAAGATAAAAATAATATTTTTTTTAGCAATTTTTCACGCTTACAAGTTGGCGGGTGCGAGAAATTACGCCGAAATAATTTTTATTTCATTTTCGGCTCCTGTTCATTCGGCGGGTTCGCGAAACATGGGATAATAAAAGTCTGGCCTAATATCTAAAAAAAAAAAAAAAAAAAAGCAGCATTTTAAATAAGTTTATGAGGTTTTACAGGGCAGAAAAGACTTCAAAATTGTTGGTGTTTGTATATATCAGCGAGTTCTGTGATTTTCTGTAAACATAACCCTTAGAAATATAAATACATGTATATATAAAACAACCTGGGCTGATAATTTTGTTGGCGACACGCCCCCACAATATCAAAGCATTGTGGTTACATAAAGGGGGAACACATGTCGTCATCGATTTACAGTT